TCATGAACTTGGAGATTCTCCATCAATTGCACTTCAGACCCAGTGGGATCTTGACTCACTGCCTGAATTTTCCGGGTATGTTTGGAGATAACACCCGTCTATCTCTGGCTTGCTGGATGCTTTCTGGACTATATTCACCTTTCCCCACCTGCTACTTGGCCTTGGAGGGTATAGTCAAAGTCTGGGACTGCATGCATGTGAGAAGTTTTAAAAATAAAACTGTACTTTTAATTGAAAGAAAAGAACTTTCAAAGACCGGGGGATGGAGGTGAGAGTGGGGGAGGTGGGGAGAGGTAGGCAGCCCGAAGACAGAGAAAACAAAGTTTTCTAATCCATTCTCCTAACTCCATGCCGCTCCTGTGGGTTAGATATCATAATGCTGTCATTTCTCGAGTGCGTGGGGGCCCAGGACTCACAGGTGAGCTTGTATTCTACCATTAGATCCTCACAGAAGGTTTTCCCTCCATTTTACTGCTGAGGAAACTGAGGCCCAGAGAAGTTCCTTACCCCAAGGTAGCGGTACACAGTCAATAAAATGGGGCCCACAGAATAAGCCAAGCATTAAAAAAATTATTATGGTAATATTTTTGTTATAGACCTAAGTAGATGGGAAACATCCATGCATATATGTGTGCTTATATTACATATGAGCTTATGTTACATATGAACGGGCTTCAAAAAGTTCATGGCAACATGGAATTAGAAGATAATAGAATTTTCCACAAACTTTTGGAACCCCCTTTTATGTATAAGTATATATATATTATGCATGTTTAATATAATAAATTGTTGCCACTTTAACTACCTTTAAGTGTCAAATTCAGCGACGTTAATTATACTCATATTGGGCAACTATCGCCACTACCTCCAAAAATGTTTATCTACCCCCTTACATAGTAATACCCAGTCTCCTTTTCCTTCAGCCACTGGTGGCTGCTAATGACCTTTGGTCTCTACATATTTGCCTATTGTGGTTTATTCTGTAAATGGGATCATACAAGATTTTCCCTTTTGCCCCTGACTTACCTCACTTAGCATGATGTCAAGCTTCAGTCCCTGCTGGAGTCCAAGCATTTTAACTCCAAAGCACTCATCCTTAAGACCCGTACCCCTCCCAAGGGAACTCATCCAGAAAGCCCAAACCGAACGAACCCTGTTGCCCTCCTGTCAGTTCTGACGCATGGTGATCCCACAGGGCAGAGTAAGACTGGTCCTCTGAGTTTCAGAGGCTGTACCCCTCTATGGAAGCAGACCACGACACAGTTCCTCTATGATGTGGCTGATGGGTTTGAACCCCCAATCTTTTGGTCAGGAGCCCAACAATTAACCCATTCAGCCGCCAGAATTAGTCTACTGGTTGTTGCTAGCGGCCATTGAGTTTGTTGCAACTCATAGCAACTCATAGTTGGGAGCCCATTTTTGCAGCTACGGTGTCAATGGGGCTCATTGCAACTCTTCCTCTTTTGGGGTTACTCTACCAAGCATGATGGCCCCCTCTCCCAGACACTGGTCGGTGCCTCCTGCAAACAGGTCCGGAGTGCATGAGATGCAGTCTTGCCATTCTCGTTTCTAATGAGTATATTGGCCGTACTTCTTCCAAGACAGATGTTTGTCCTCTGGCAGTCTATGGTATAGTCAATACTCTTTGCCAACAGAGTCAAATACATCAATTCGTCTCTGGTCTTCTGTCTAGCTTTCCGGTGCAGAGGACGCACCTGAAAATATCACGGCTTCGGTCAGAGCTACTGTGCTTGCCGTTGTTAGGTGGTGTGGGCTCGTAGTGTTGACTCAGTGTACAGCCAGGTGAACACCGCCCCCCCCCCAATCCTGCACCCTCCTCACAATGGTTCCGAGGTTTAAGCCCAAGGTTGCAGCCATCGTGCCTTCTTCTTTGTCCCTGCCCTGCTCCGTTACTTTGAAGGTGTTATTGGGCTGACGTAATGAAGGGATTTCACACGGTCTGAGGCTGCAGCTTCACACAGACTCTCAGGTCTGACATGGATGTTTTGGTGACTCAAGGCCAAGTTTGGGCCACCTCCAAAGCACGTTAGGGCACGATTTCGCTAACAGAGGCCGAACCTATTTAGTAAATTGATGTGTCCAGCTGGCTCAGTCTGCAAAGTGATTTTGTTTCTGTAAAATCAGATGATTTATCTGAGTTTTCAGAATTGCCACAACCACCCACTTGACTCTTTCGTCTTTAAAAAGATACGGGACTGTGTTTGAGGTGTGAGTTTACGTAGTAAGCGAGCTTCGCATCCAACAAGCCCCGCACAAATGGTCCCGGGGGGCCGGGCTACCCTTTCTGCATGGTCCTGCACGCTCACTTCACCGGGTGGACCCCGCCTGCCCCATTTCTGTTCGTCCACTTCCCTGACCCTTCTTCCCTTCTCCTCTTTGCTTTGGGGTAAATGTTGACTGTTTGGTCTCGCGGAGTGCACTGTCTAAAGGAGTATACTCTCCTCGTGGGTTGGTGGTGTTTATTTTATCGGCTATTATTTAGGTGAACTCTGGGCGTGGCCTCAGTTCCAGGTTAAAAGACTGTCTCGGGATAACGGTTTTAGGGGTTCCTCTAGTCGCGCTCAGTCTGGTCGTTTTACAGGTATAACTTGGTGAGTTTTGCTCTACAGTGCTCTCCTACTCTAACTGGAACCTTTGGTTGTGCCCCTGGTAAGGACAGTTATGAGCGGTGGCTGGGCACCATCTAGTTCTTCTGGTCTCGTGCTAGAAGAAAGGTGGTTGTGTGGGCCATTCACTCTGTGGGCTCAGGCGTTCCTGGAGTCTTCACTCCCCTTTGCTCCTGATGGGAAGAGGCCAATCATTCTATCTTAGATGGCCACGCCCACACTTTTAAGACCCGCCCAGATGCTACTTACCAACCTACAATGTCCAATATCATCTTTAGGAACTAAATGATAGCAATCAACTAAACTGTCTCATGAGACTATGGTCCTAAGCCTTTAAACCTCGTAAATCCATCTCATTTTGGAATGGGGGTGTGTCTGGGAAGTAGTCCTAACTGTGTTTCCTATGTCACTTGATTTTCTGAGCAAATTCAGCTGCAACTCTCACCATGTCTCCAGCGATCAGTTTGGGACACTCATTAAGTTACTCTGGAGTGCATGGGTGCTACAAACAGTGGATGTGCTCAGCTGCTCACCAAGAACGTTGAGCGTTCAAGTCTACCCAGACTCCGGAGGAGCCTCAGAAGAGAGGCCTGGCATTCTACTTCCCAAACCCAGCTACCAAAAACCCGGTGGAGTACAATTTTACTGGAATACATACAGGTTCACCAGACGTTGGAATCAACTCATTAGCAATGGGCTTTTCTTTTTTTTCTTTTAAAGGATGCATCTACACATGCAAAACAAATAGACTTTAACACACCAATGCTTTGCTTTCAGCCAACTGCAGGATCAACCCAGAGAACTGCACAACAGATCCAGCAACTGACATCATTCCCCAAAGCTGCTAGCCCCACCAGACAGCCGGGCCGCAGTGCAGTCCCTGGCTGCACGCATCCTGGACACGGGCTAAGGCCGTGCTACGAGGCTAACGCTGGTCTTCTTTTATAGGCTTTCGGTACAGAGGCGTCCCTCCTTGAAACAGATGCTTTCCTGCCAACTTGGCTCTGTTGTCTAAACCTCAGTGTTTTCCTGTCGGGTAATTCTTCAAATTAGATGTTTAATAGAATATAAAATGAATGAATCTTCCTGTTCTTGTCAGTGTTGTAAGTTCCATACGGCGTTTTCTCAGACTGAAAAAACATCTGTATTAATCAGATAAACCAAAATCACCGAGCAGGCCTACACCGTTGTTCATTTTAATGATTTCTCTCCACAGACGACAAAGTACACAGAGCTGATAGCAAGAAGGCTACACATCGTGTTGGGTGAGCCGAGGTGCCTTATTTGAACATTCATCCCAGTTTGCCATGGGAAACATCCGTAACTCAATACATGACGAGGTGGGGTGGTTTTAGCTGCTCTGCTTCCACCTTAGGTGGCTGAATGGAAATCCTACTTCCTGCCAGAAGTTGTTGTTGGTTTTAAACGAGACATGGTTAGTGATGGTCATTCTTGGCTGTGCTTAGATAAAGGGAAGAGGAGAACAGCGTTGGGGCTTTGCATCAAGAGACATCACTTCAGAAGTCAATTGGGCTCTGATTTCATTAACACGATGAAATGTGTTATTATTAACAAAGGCTGGTTAATTTGAGCGAAGCTGCCATTTTCCGGAACTGCATTCCGACGTAACTGGGCAGGTGGTTGCACGACAGGAGCTATTTAGGAGTAGGAAGGAGTGGTGATTTGGATTTAAATGACTTGCACACTCTTGACGGATTCTTTGGCAGTTCCGTGGGATCATTTCCACCCACTGCAAAGCAGAAGCCAGGCCTTTCCTCCGAGTTACCCTGATGCAGATGTCAACTCCCGGAGGACTGAAGCGTGTCTTACAGATGTTGGCTTTGCTGTGGATGGACTCTATGCTTTCTGTTGAATTGCTGCCCCTTCTTGGAGTCTGCTAAATCACTCCCGCCTGGAGCAACGGAGGGCTGGTCTTTGCTTCAAAGGAGGCCAAAGAGTGAATTATTTACCGAATTGCCCAACAGGGAGAGGACAAACCCAGAGCCCAGGGACTTTATGACACATGTGCTCAGCTATAAATTATGCCATTCCGCTGCTCTTCATGTTCCTGCTTGAACCATAAACGTGAGACCTGGACCAAGTGCCTTTATCCTCCAGGAAGGGTCAAGAAGAAGAAAGACGGCCATTCTACCACCCAGAGCAGGCGAGTGGCCAAGACGCTTGGCCAGGGGAGACAGTAACGCTACACACGGCACAGGCCTTCGTGACCTCTGACATCGATGTTACCCCGTGGCATGTAAGCGGCCACTTCCCCAACAACGGATTTGCTATTTCCAACACACTAGGTTGCACCACTACCACCAACTGGATGGCTGTCATTGCCTTTGGGATTTCAGTAAACCAGCCACTCACCTGGAGAGGGTCTGCTGGGGCCAACTTTCTCCGGTTTTGTCCCAGTCATGGTACTCTTGTGTTTCTGCTTGACGGATGTCTGGTCAATCGCTGGAAGCTTGGGATCACTTTTACTGGAGGAAGTCTTGGGAGATAGTCTTGGTTCAGCAAGAGGATCCTCCTCCTCAGGACTCTACCAAACAGGAAAGGTACGTGAGCCTCCACAACTGGGGATGTCCCCGTTGGTCTCCCAGATCGAATGCTCCATCACCAGCTCGGTTCCCCCCCACCACAACCCTATAGGACAGGGCAGAACTGGCCCTTGGGGGTTCTGAGATTAGAGAAGGCAAACTCGTCTTTCTCCCGCCTGCGGCTGCCAATGGCTGATGTGGTTGAGCCCAAGTTCTGTGGTTTCGACTCTGGTTTCCCAGCCAAACTTGTCACCCACGACACCACGACCTGGAACGCCCCCAGCTCAGAAACCCCGGAGGGCAGTTTCGCTCTATCCTCCAGGGTGGCTATAAGCTGGCACAGACTCGCTAGCGGTGGGTCACCTTTAGTCGACAGAGAAAGTGAGCAAGAGAGTGACCCCCACGGGACCCTGCCGTGCCGAGTACCTCCTTTCTCCATTGATATTTTGGCCGACAGGGCATCTCAAGTTAGAGAAAACAGCCAAGTTCATGGGTCTCCTTTGTAGAACAACATGAGGACATGTATTTCTGACCCTGAATGCATTTGATGACCAAATAGCTCCTATTAAAAACTACATCGGAAAGCAGGAGAGAGAATTAGCGGTCCTTGCTGCTTGTTATTTGAATTGCTTGGGCAGGAGCAGAGAAAAAATGTCCTGTGTGTTCATCCTATTCCCTCTTCTTCCTCTCCCCCTAAAAACCTTCCTGCCATTAGGTGAATACTGACTCATAGTGACCCTATAGGACAAGGCAGAACTGCCCCTGTGGGTTTCCAAGACTGTAACTCTTTCCAGGAGTAGAAAGCCTTAACTTTCTCCCAAGGACCAGCTGGTAGTTTCAAACTGCTGACCTAGCAGTTAGCAGTCTAGCGTAACCACACCACCACGAGGGCTCCTCTTGCTTATCACGTCTTGGACCTCATCTACTCCTCCTGTCCATCCTATACTTGGCAATAAAAAGGAAGGGTAGGCAGTGTGGTGGGAACTGGGCAGATCTGGCCTCAGCTCCCCTGCTCTGCGTTCCTGGGTGCACCAGAAGGCTGTTTTGCAAGTCTCTGATTATCAGAGGAAGCTCCTCAATGGGATGGATTGACACCGTGGCAGCAACGACAGGCTCAAGCATAAGGTTGGTGCAGGTGGTGCAGGACCAGGCAGGATTTTGTTCTGCTGTACAAAGGGTCGTTAGGAGTTGGCACTAACTCGATGACCCCTAACTACAGCAAGAACAATCAGCCTTGTCAGTCGACGACGAAGGCAGAGTAAATCTCCAGGTGACGAAACGGTGACCCTTGTCAGGCTAGACTGTCTCAGCACAGCCTTGAAGACCCCATAAAAACGGATCCAAGCATTCCACAGATCTATGCATCGCCACATTCCCACCAACCAAAGAGCTGTGGGGGTGGAGTGGTTAAGGTGCAACGCCAACAGGAGGTCAGCAGCTGGTACCTGCCAGCTGCTCCCCGGGAGACAGTTGAGGCCGTCTGCACCGATAAAGAAGTACCGCCTTGGAAATCACCTGGGACTGTTCTAGTCTGTGCTGTACGGTCGCTATGCAGTCAGGGTTCAATCAACCAACAGTCAGGGTTTTGTTCTTCGGTGTTTTGTTTGGTATTGCCACCAAAGAAAAAGTGAAAACAGAACAAATGATTCTCAGAAATTTGGTTCTAAAGAGCCATTTACCAACCCAACCCAACCCAACCCAACCCAACCCAACTCACTGCCACTGAGTGGATTCCTAGCGACCTGTCGCCATGCTGGATCCTGGACGGCATGGCAACTAGGACGGCTTCTCAGGGTTTCCATCAGTCTCCAAAGGGTAATTTAAGTCCGGCCTTATTACTTTAGGAGTCCTGGTGGTGTCGTGGGTTACAAGTTGGGCTGTTAGCCTCAAGGTCAGCAGTTCAGACCCACCAGCAGCTACTTGGGAGAAAGATGAGGCTTTTTGCTATCTGCACCTGAAAATCCTCCTAGCCTCAGAAATCCACTTCTACTCGGGCCTACGGGGGCGCCACGGATCAGAACCAACTCACTGGGAAGAGGGCTTTGAGTTTTTATTGTTTAAGGTCTGGTTTGCTAGCCACCTACTTACTCACTGTGTGACACAGCCCCCTGCAGGTTGTCTCTAAGTTTCCTTACATTGTACTCCCTCCTCCCATTCCCTGCCCCCCCCCCCGCCCCCCCTGCTAAAAAGAGTAAAAACCAAAAGGAGTTGCCATCACGTTGGTTTTGACTCATGGTGACCCCATGCCTTGCAGGGCAGGACTGTACCCCACAGGGCTTTTTTTCCGGGCTGTGACCTTTCGGAAGCAGATCCTCAGTCCTTTCCTCTGAGCTGCCTCTGGGTGGGTTCGAACCACCAACCTTTCCGTTAGGAGTTGAACAGTTAACTGAGTCTGCCAGAGACTCCTTAAATGGCTAGCCTTCCTGCCAGGAAAAATCTTCCAACAGTGCAGTCTTTCGCCAACAGGGAATGCTAAATTAATGTCCCCTGCACGCTGCCCCCACCCTACCCCACCCCACCCCACCCCAACTGTTGCAATTTGTATTGATCTTGCTTCTCCTTTGCGTTGACAGTTGTGACATTTTCATTTCACAGGCTGCTGACTCAGGAAAATACTCTGAGTAGCTTTGACTGATTGGGCACCACGTAAGACAAACTAAACGCTTGACAATCCCTCTCCTTGTCAGTCCTGGGCACAGATTTCTGTCGAAATCCACAGGTGGACAGATCATGATCCTTCTAGATTAGCAATCAGAGTTTCTAATTTAGAGTCTGGATACGGCCTTTAAGTAATCACTGTTTCTCTGCACAGTTTCAAAAAACACCGCCGAAGAGGAAAGGATCGGAAAAGGCAGCCCATGATGTATTGTTTAGTCTCTCTTTCCCTTTCCATCTCTGGGATTGAATGGAAATTCTTGCCAAATTATTCTGGAATGTCAAAGGTGAAACATTAGACCCTTAAGATTGGCGTTGTAACTGGGATGCTAGCAGTCATGATAGGGAAGGGCAGCATCTCTGAGCTCCTGTCAGTGGGAGGAGAGGCCTGTTTGCACATGGTTCTGCTGGTCAACCATTTCTTTCCAGCGAGCAGAAACCAGGCAGGACACCTTTTGCTAGGGCTGGCGACACAGATGGCTATAACATCAGGAGCAGGTATCTGTTCCTACTGGAGGATCCATCTTCCCCACCTAGCCCATGGCTAGCATTCTTTTTTTATTTTAATAAATCATTTTATCGGGGGCTCTTACAGCTCTTATCACAATCCATACATCAATTGTATCAAGCACATTTGTACACATGTTGCCATCATCTTTCTAAAACCTTTTTTTTCTACTTGAGCCCTTGGTATCAGCTCCTCTTTTTTTCACCCTCGTGAACCCTTGATAATTTAGAAGTTGTTTTTATTTTCATATTTTACACCATCCGCTGTCTCCACCTACATTTCTGTTGTTCCTCCCCTGGGGCGGTGGAGGAGTTGTGCATCGAACATTGTGATCGCTTTCCCCTTCCTCCCCCCACCTTCTCCCTACCCTCATGACCCCACTATCTTCCCCCCTCCACGATCATGACCCCAGTTCTATCTTACCAATCCAGCTAGACCAGAACATGAACACTGCTACAGATAAGAGCTCTCAACACACAGAATCCAGGACAGATAAACCCCTCAGGGACAATAATGAGAGTAGCGATACCACGAGGGTATGGCTAGAATTCTTTGCGAGCTCCCAGGCAGTGGTGAGTTGGGACAGGTTAGCAAAGAGACTTTTGACTGGGTGGTAAGCTACATTAAGGAGCCCTTGGTGGCGTAGTGGGTTATGTGTTGGGCTGCTAACCTCAAGGTCAACGGCTAGAAACCACCAGCCACACAGTGGGAGAAAAACGAGGTTTTCTCCTCCCATAAAGATTTGGTCTCAGAAACCTACCAGGGGCAGTTGGACCCTAAGTCACAATGAGTTGGAATCCAGATTGGTTTGGGTTTAGTGGTGCAGGGGAGGGGCCCAGGTGGCACCGTAGCAGCAGTTTGAGCTCACCAGCCTCTCCGAAGGTGACGGTGATCTGGTCCCAACAAGATCTGAAGGGAGGAGTTCTACTCTGTCCTATAAGGTTGCTATGAATTAGAATCAGCTCGATGGCAGTCGACGGCTAATTGAAAGGTTCATGGTTCAAACTACCAGCTTCTCTGTGGGAGAAAGCTACGACACTCCGCGTCTGCACGGACTGGAACTTTTCTCGGAAGTAAGGTGACCAGATTTAAAGCGGGGCACCATTGACCGGTAGGGGTGTGTGTTCTTGATTAAAAATTTGGTCTATATGGACCAAATAGACCGTTCCCTAGCTTGTCGTGCATTCTTTCCAAAAATCGGGACGGTCCCACCCAAAGCAGGACGTCTGGTCACCTTACTCGAAAGGGACAGTTCTACTCTGCTCTGTAGTGTCCCTCGCAGCTGGAATTGACCACAAGCAGTGGGCTTTGGCTTGGGTAAGGTACGGGGTTGCAGACCTACATTTCAAATACACTTTGTTCTGCCTCCTGGGCAGATCCATCAACCTTGTTTCCAGACAGCAAACATTCTGAAGCGTCTAGAAAGGACAGCGTGAAGTGGGTGGCTCCTCAGTTGGGAACGCTAGTCACATGACAAGAGCGAGTCTGCTCCGGCGTGTGCTACTGACTCTTCTCTCCTCCCTGGGTGGGGGAGTCTTACAGGAATCACGTCAGCATTTCATACCGATGCTCATGTTTCTCCAACATCTATCCTCCCTTCTCTCCCACCGGGGAGAAGAAGTTGTATCACTCAATTTGGCACGAACACGTAGCAGTTCAGCCTCCCTGGAAGGGACTCTTAATTCTTCATGCAGTAATTAGGTGGCACTGGGTGAGTTGTTTCTGTGTTACCTTTTCTCAGCGATGCACAACGGTATCTGCCTGTTGGCAGTTTGGGGAGTACTGCATGAGCTAACACCTGCACACAGCGCTTGGAGGAGTACCAGACACACGGTGCCA